GAGAGAGAGAGAGAGAGAGAGAGAGGGAACGGTTCTCGTCGCTCAATGGAACACCGGCGCGGCCGGTTGAGATCGTCGGCGACGTCAGTACGGGAAGTCGGGCAACCGCGGGAAACAGCCTTTAACCTTTGAAATACACCGCGCGATTATAGTTGGAGACCAGACATCATCGTAGAGACGGAGTTGGTGGAAGAGAAAGAGAGAGCGAAAGAGAGAGAGAAGGAGAGAAAGAGAGAGAGTGAGAGAAAGAGAGAGAGAGAGAGCGAAAGAGAGAGAGAGAGAAAGAGAGAGAAAAGAGTGAGACAAAAGAAGAAAAACAGAGAAAGCGGGGGACAGAAGGAGGAACATATGCGTGGTAACTGCGGTGAAACGATTCGTCGAAAGCACCTGGAAGAATTTTCCAGCCTCAACACCGTAACTGACGACTGAACGACCGTGTGCTTCCGTTACCCGGTATAATTCCAACGCATCCCACACACACACATACACATACATAACACACCGCAACCACACATACCCACCGCAGCGTACACATAACTGTACATACGCACGCACACACTTATCTACCTACGGCGCGCGCGCGTTCTCTTTCTCTCTCTCGCTCTCTCTCGCTCTCTGTCTCTCTCTCTCTCTCTCTCTCTCTCTCTCTCTCTCTCTCTCTCTCTCTCTCTCTCTCTTTCGCTCGCTCTCTCTTTCTCTCTCTCTCTCTTTTTCTCTTTCTCTCTCTCTCTCTCTCTCTCTCTCTCTCTCTCTCTCTCTCTCTCTCTCTCTCTCTCTCTCTCTGGTATCACGCCCATATGAACGGCCATACGGAAGCGGAGCGTGGCGAGCGACGAAAATGTCAGTGAATGAAACGCGCCCCACCGTGTGTGATCGGACGACCTCCTCGTACGTGATATGATCGCACAGGGTGCTGCGTCGGGTGCTGCGAGCGCAATCTCTCCTCCGTGACAAGTGCCGTCTTTCGAGAGAACGGCGAAGTGATGCGCGACGGGGAACATCATCGGAGCAGCAGCAGCAGCAGCAGCAACAGCAACAGCAACAGCATCGGCCAGAAACGGCGTCTGGGGAGGGTGGAGCAGTGATAAAAGAGAAGTACGAGTACGGAAGTGAGAGGGTGAGGAACATCAGTCGTTTCTTCTTCTTACTCTACAACACGCGCGGAGCAAAGAAGAAGGCTATGTGAAAGGGTGCGTGTTAGAGGATCATCGGTGTGCGTATCAAGGTATCGTGGAATCGCGTGAAGGAGAGGAAGGGAAGGAAACAGGAAAGAAGATAGAGAGAGCGAGGGAGAGAGAAAAAGAGAAAGAAAGAGAAGAAAGCAGCGGCTGGGCGAAAGACGAAGAAACAACAAGACACAAAACAACGAAGGAAGAGGCAAGGGGAAAATAGAAACGAAGACGGGGTGAAGTAGAGAAAAAGAGAAACAGAAAAGAAGATTACGAGAGAAGGGACGGGGGTAGACAAGAGAAGAAACTAATAGAGAAAAAGAGAGAGAGAGAGGGAGAGAGGGGAGAGAGAAAGAGCGAGGAGCGAGAAAGCAAGTGTGTGCGTGTGTATACATGCGTGTGTGTGGAAGAGGGAGAGAGAAAGAGAAAAAAAGAAATAGATAGAGAGAACAGGGAAGAAAGGGGAGGTAAAGTCGAAGATTGGCATCACGGAACAACGCGACGCAGAGGGTCGAGGGAGAGGTCGAAACGGGAGATCGGAGGAAAGCTCGGAGGAAAAAGGCACGACTGACGCGGCGGCGAGAAATCAAGAAGCAAGTATTTTCACGTAATGCCCCGCGTAATTAATTAACACTGCACTTCCTCTATATCGATGAACCTCCTCTCGCGGTCTTTGTCTGTACTCCAGACGTCTCTCGCCTTTGTGACATCCTCACTACTATACGTGTAAACGCATATATTATATATGTATATATATTTATATATATACATGTATATGATATATAATATATACATGTCGATGTACCTTCTTCTGTGCCTTTGTTTGACCCTTGTGTACTTTCTGTCGCAATACACACGCTAGTCTACCGCCTTTCCGCGTTCTCGCACTTTGACTACGCGCACCGCTCCTGTCACGGCAGCAAGCCTTGCTTTTTCAACGTTTTTCGGGGCACCTGTTGATACGACCGACCTACATACCACACTCTATCCATATTATGTCACCCCGTTCGTTGTTCGACCGAGTCATCAGGAGCCGGTGTTCAGGAGATCGTCGCGTACGACTTGTCTATCGTCCGTTCTGCTCGCGCGAGTTATGTCGACGAGGGGATGTCACGAAGAACGCCCCTCGATGACGCGCGGCGGCCGCTCGTTCTCGGGAGATCGCGCGGTTCCCAGAGCAGATTCTTGCAAAGCCGGGACTCAAGTATCGAGACGAGATTGCTTCGTTTCTTCGTCGTGTCGTTCCCCGAAACGATCGACCGTCACGCAACATGCTGGCCGACATACGATGTGAAATTGCGCAACGGTGATGGTTTCGCTCATCGAGGAACACATCGGGATGATTCGAGGAAGAAGACGCTATTCGATTGTACCGAGGGACATCCGAATGAATAAAATCAGAGGTGCATGTTCGTATGTTACATTCAATATTGAGTTTCGGTAATTGTGAGCGCGGCCATCGTACGATTGCCAAGGTTCGTTGTGTTCGACGAAATCGCTCAGCCGCTCACATTTCTGAATCCATCTTTTTTTTCTTCCGTCGAACGAAGCCTCTCGACGCAAACGACGGACGGTATTTCCCATCAATACGATTTTCTTTCATGCAATTCAGAACGCAGTCGATGTCCGATAAGAGAATCTTCCAGAGAGGGATGAAAAGACTATCCCTGGTAATTATTCGGAAACAAATCTTCCCATTAGGTTCTGAACTGTATCGTGAGAAAACGCGTCCAGATCGTATTGAAGCTGACGTCGCGAGCGTAAAGCATGTAGCTTCCGAACGACAGAGAAAAAAAAGAAAAAAAACAAGAAGAAACATCGCCGAAAATCGCTGCAAATTTCCGGCCCGACGGTCGGCGAGTGGAGGGGGGAGCAGGGGGGGAGCGGAGAGGTAGATCCATTCCGGAGCGGCACGCTTGGCGAAAATGAAACTTCGCGGAGTCACGTTCGCGGCTAATCTCGCCGATATTTCGTGCACGATCGCAGCCCGAGCCAAGCCGCCTCGGGTAGGCACGGTTATTTATAAGCGAGCACACCGTGCGCCGCGACGCTCGCCCGTGTGATCGTTATCGTCGCGCGATCGACATCTCGTTGGCGTCGTCGTTCTCATTTCCGCTCTAAGGAAAAATCAACCGGCCCGGGATACATTCGATACGCGAGGGAGAAGAAACGAAAAAAAAAGAGAAAAAAGAAAAGAACGCGGGGTGGCGTAAGACAGAGAGGAAAAGAGGGTACGAACGAACGGAACGGGCTTGCAGGGGGAAAAAGTGTGTCTGTACATGTGTGTGAGAGGGAGAGAGCGAAAGTGAGCGAGAGGGAGAGAGAAAGAGAGAAAGGCGAGAAGGGAAAGATAAACGGATAAGGAAACAACGTCGACGGAGTTCATTCTCCGTAGAGATGGTAGCTTTATTGGCATACACGAGTGATCGCGAGCGGTTTAACAACGGGTGGCATCGATTGGTTTAAATGTTGTCCACACTCTCGAGCACCTTTACGCATCTATGGCACGCACGATGAGCACCTCCGATTACCTCCACATGTCGCCAGCACTTTGTTGAATATATATGTCCTGAGAAAAAAAAGTAAAAAATGAAATATATATATATATGTGTGTGTGTGTGTGTGTGTGTGTGTGTGTGTACATACATATATTTAGAAAAAAGCGATAGAAAAACCAAAACCAAATCTTTTTGTGTTCCTGGCACTTGGTAGAACGTCGCACGTTATTCTTTACTAACGACCTGATTTCAGGACGGTCGGTACAGGAGACATGTGCGCTTTATCACGAAGAGAATAAGCCAAGGTCGCGGCTACTATCACGGACTACCGAAAGTGAAGCGTATCGATTTAGAGGAGCATAACGCAATCGAGTGTCGAAGTCGAGTGAGTGATACACCGTGCACTCGAATCGGGTATTTGTTCTCGATAAAGGTAGAGCAGGAGAACGAGAGTGGGAAAGAGAGGGAAGAGAGGAAGGGAAAGAGAAAGAGAGGAGGATCCGTGGCCCAGGTGTTGTTTCGCGACAGATTCTTGCTCCCAGTGAGAGGACATGCTTGGAGGAAAATCGCGGTCGATACAGTCACACGCGTAGCACACTGTTGCGTTTTCTATGCAATAATCGTCGAAATTACATTACGCCGCCGCTCGTGATTTTTTATCAAGCTTATCCTCGACCTCCCCTTCTGCGCTCTCTCAGTATCAATCGACCGCCCCCGTACCTCCTGCCCACCTGCGTACTCAGCCACACACGCATACACGTAACACGCAGGTAGGCGCGTGCACACACATGCATAGAAACGTACGCACACACACGTACACACACACACAGACGTTATACACGCTCCATCCTCAGCTTCCCAGTGTACCGCGCGTTCAAACGAAAAGTCGGCCTAACCCCGAGTCGCTACAGACGTGCCTTTAGACTGGCAGTGAGTAGTAAGCAGCTAAAGCGTACAAGAAAACAAACCAAAAGCATCGTTGCTGTTCATGTAGGTCAATTATAACACCACACCCAGCCGTATAATCGACTACGACGAAAGCGGTGGTGGTGGTGGTGACGTTGGTGGTAATAGAGACGGGAGAAAGAGAGAGAGAGAAATAAATATATACGTAGCATATATATTTACATATATATACATAGAAAAAAAAAGAGATAGGGAGAGAGAAAGAGAGAGACAGGAGTGGTTGAAAAAGGTAAAGATAGAGAAAAAGAGAAAGGTAGAGAGAGAGAGAGAGAGAGAGAGAGAGAGAGAGAGAGAGAGAGAGAGAGAGAGAGAGAGGGATAGGGAAAAATAGATAGGGGGAGAGAGAGAGAGAGGGGGAACAGAAGAGCAAAAGGGAAAGAGAGAAAAGAGAGAGGATAGTGACTGTGAAATGAGAAAAAGAAACATGGCGGTCTGCATGTTCTGGCTGCTCACTTACGTGGGACAGGGGCTGGATCTGGCGGTAGGCAATCGACCAGCGATCATAGTGCAAGGCACACAAGGACTAGACTACCGTCATGGAAGCAATAGCATTAGAAAGAAGAACGAGCCGAACTCGATAGGCAGCAACCTGTTGCAGTTCAGGATATATCCTTCCGAAGGCTCCCACCGGGACGACCTATCGAATTGGCTGGTCTTCAACGACGAACCGCGGATATCCTCGTGGTCTCCGGCGGGCATACTGATCGACGACATGGTGAAGGAGCCGCGCGAGCTCCAGTCGGTGTTCTTCGCCTTGTCGCCCACCGTCCTGAACGTCCTTTATTCCGATTACATGACGTCGCAGACGTCCACGCACGCGATCGCCGTGCAGCCCGTCGTTCACGACGACAACAATCTGCATCTTCACGGCGGCCGGCCGCAGCATCAGCGCCCCAAGAAGCGGCGCATGTTGGGCTGCAGGCATCCCATCAAGGGCACGCTTAGCCTGCCGATCTTGGTGTGCGACGGCAAGAAGAACACTGCGGCGGCAGCGGCGGCGATTCTTCAGGACCCATCCAGACAATCGAACTACCACGACGATCTCTATGAGCAGAGATTCAACACTGCGACGAGTACGAAGACTGATCTCGCGCGCGCCGACGGCATACCCCGTGATGGCATATCAAATGGCGGCTTCATCCCGAGGCCACTTGTCTACGAGGCCAACAAGCTACCCGGCAAGCGGAATCAGATCTCGGTAGGACGGCGTTCAGCCGATGTGCCAGCCGAATCCCCGGGACACCAGGCTCAAGCGTCCGCGACGTCCTCGACGACCTCGACCGGCGCGAGCATCGCCTCGCAGTTCATGCTAAGGTCCATCAGGGGCAGTATACAGTACGACGTGCCGCAAATCGGTAAGCGTGTTGCTTTCGTCCTGTAATGATTGTCCTGTTCTGTTTTCGATTTTTAACCTCTCACCCCTCCTCGAATGCTTCCTTCAGAATGCGCCGTATGAAGAAGAGAAATCGGACCTTCGGGTTCAACTACGAGATTCGACGCTTTTGTTTGTCCACTATTTTGAGCAGGCGCGGTAGCCGTGAGTTTGCTTCAGGGACAAGAAATCACAATATTTTTAATAGTCTACTCGTTTTAATGGGTTCTTTAGTAAACTTTAGCACGCCTCTGGTAATAAGCAGAAAAAGATACTCCTTATAAATGGAAATATTTATATTTCTCCTTCGGAGATTGCACTGCAAAGCAAATTCCACTGCATATGGATACACGGCGTAACTCAATGAAATGAAAATATACAAGAAATGGAGAATCTTCAGAACGGTCTGAACGGTTTGCTAAACGACGAACGTACACAGATAATAACTCTAATCTTGTAAAATTTGTAATTTTGTAAAATCTTGTAACCTGCAATCTTGTAAAATTTGTTTAATTGAATTAAAATATTAAGACGACATACATACGTCGTGTCTTTTTGGCGGAAACGAACAAATTTTCTTCCAATGGTACTAACTCCGCAAGATGGCCGATCTGTCAGCTCAAATTAAATGAAAGTGCTGGATATATCAACGAAAATAAATAGTATTTCATGCAACTCTTCCGTGCTTGATGCTGTGCGCGATTCTTCGATAACAAATATTTTTTCAAATGCGTTTCTATTTTGTTAGAGAAATTGCTATTTTGTTTCTATTTTGTTAGAGAAATTACTATTTTGTTTTCTTCACGTGGTCTCTTTGCAAGGCGATAAAACAGATTCATGTAAACATGAGAGGGAAAAGCTAATATTATAAATATTTAAACTGTAAGTTGGCAAAGATTAGATTAACAAATGAGTATTAGTTTAACAAGTATACTCAACTCCGGTACTTTCTAGAAATAGAGAAACATTTCGCAGAGAGAGGAGGAGAGAGAGAGGGAGAGAGAGAGAGAGAGAGAGAGAGAGAGAGAGAGAGAGAGAGAGAGAGAGAGAGAGAGAGAGAGAATAAAGAAACTTCGTGAAATGAAACTTCAGAAATGAGAAATTAGCCGAGGCGATATTTCTGACAATGTTGTAATTCTTTACTAAAAATTCAAATGAGGAAGAAGCATGATTTCGATATTAATATTATGATGAAACCAATTAATTGAGACGCTGACGTTTGTTATATCAAAAAAATGATACTAAAATATCTTTAATGAGGCAATTGAAGATAATTATATACTCGCAATAATCAATTTGCCTATATTAATTTTTATAGGTTTCTTGGTTATAAGTTTATAATGAAAAATTTTATTAAATGAACACCTATATTGATGCTTCCTAATAACTCGATATTTTACTCAAATCCGATACTTCAGATAAAACATTAGACCGATTTGATATACGACCGTTTATCTTCGAGAATGAGAGTTTTATCGGAACGTTTACAAAAATATATATCAGGCGTATGGCTCGATATCGTCGCTCCGGAGAAATTCACGTTACGCGGAAAAACGCGCAGGAAAGGTTACTGCATTTCAATTAAAACCGCGAATCAAACAAACGCATTGCAATATACGCAAACACGCGATATTGGTTACACGAATAAAGGAGTCCGAATGTGAAGAGGGCAAGAAGAGTCGCGTCGCGAAATGCACAAAATGCTCCCGAAAACGAAGAAAAAACGACGAAACGCTAGTCGCACGAGCATGTCCCGCCGACCCTCCCAAATTTATTGATCCAAGAGGACGAAGCCGACGGCGAATCCGTGACAAGAGGATGACGAGAAACACGGTGTCCCGATAAACATTCTTCGATCTCGCGGACGCCATTTAGCAATCTCAACGCGCGACTTTGAAAACTTTTGAAAAATCCCTTTAAAATGTCGCGAATGTATGCCACGCTCGTGTCGCGAAAGAACGTGAACGAAATGCAAGGTACAGTCTGTAAAGTAAGAGCGTGTACGGGTTAATGTGTAGAAAAATTTATTTTTAATGATTTTTAAGTACATGGATTTGTTGTACTCCATGAGAAGAAAAATGCTGTACCATTAATAATGAGTCCAGTCACCACCGGCATTGATAATTGCCTGGCATCTCCGAGGCATTTCCACTAAGTTGACTGCGTATTCGTTCGATAAAGACCTCCAAATGAGACGAATTTGTCGTGTCAGCTGCTTCAAAGTGCACACTCTTTTTCCTCGAAGCTTGTGCTTGAGATATGCCCACACGTTTTCAATGGGATTTGCATCTGGCGACTGCGATGGCCAATCAAGTGTGACGATGCCAGACTGCTCTTTCCACTCGGTGCAAAGCTTGCTCCGGTGTTTTGGCTTGTTGTCTTCCTGTAAGATCCAGTCCTCGTTTTTTTTCAGTCGTTGTCTTCCTGTAAGATCCAGTCATCGTTCAGCAGTCGGCAATAAACACTTCTCATAAATTTTAAGCATTAAGGTCGGGTTCCGCTTAAACAAATTCACAATTTTTTTTTCCATATTCGGCGTCACTTTGCCTATCGAGCCACGTTCTGGCAAGTCATCGACATTTTTGATCTTCTTATATTGCTGAACCCACTTAGCGACGAACGATTTTGACTCTCCCATGTATTTAGCAGCAACTGTATGTGACATTTTTGGTCTTTTGGGGTGGGAACAAAGGCTCGTAGCGCAATGCGTATGCGGCACTCATGGCGGTTAACGTGTTTCTCAGGTTAGAGTTCGACGCCAACTGAATCTTTTATGACAAAGCATTCACGACAAAGATTTCATCTATCGGCTCACAAAAAAACTAGGACAATATTTGAAGCCAACTGCCACTTATGCCGTACACGCTTTTACTTTACAGACTGTAAAGTACGCTCCGGAGCGTTTCGCTTCGATTCGGTCGCCGTGCACGGGAAAAGGTTGCGTTTTATTATCAAGAACGCAATATTCGTGATCATCAGGAACGCGCAAATAAAATGTAAAGCGGAGTACACTCCGCGCGAGTTTCACTTTAACACACAAGCCGTGTGTTGCGCTGCGTATGAGAAACACTACACTTATCAACATAATGTAAACGCAATTTATTATCAGCGTAATGAGCTTAACGTTGAAATTCATATACATCGACCCATATTTTCATCTCCCGTGCGCGCACGTTTGTCACTAGATTCACTGCTCGGGGTCTCGTCCTACGCAGACATCGAATGAGAGATCTTCCTTGCCGTGCAAGTACACACAGCGGGAGAATCTGGTAACCGCATTTAACGTCGAGCGAGCCAGGCTTTTGAGAGACAGAGAGAGAGAGAGAGAGAGAGAGAGAGAGAGAGAGAGAGAGAGAGAGAGAGAGAGAGAGAGAGAGAGAGAGAGAGAGCGAGAGAGCGAGGGAGCGAGAGAGCGAGAGAGCGAGAGAGCGAGAGAGCGAGAGAGCGAGAGAGCGAGAGAGCGAGAGAGAGAGAGAGAGAGAGAGAGAGAGAGAGAGAGAGAGAGAGAGAGAGAGAGAGAGAGAGAGAGACAGAGAAAGAGAGAGAGAGAGAATGAGGAGGTGGGAAGGGAAGAGCGGAAGCGGGAGAGGGAGACGCTCCTTTACATTTATGTCGAACGAATAACACACAGAGAATCAGCCTGCCACGTTTAAACATTGAAACGCAGTTGCTGATGAGACTGTGACCATTGAGATGCGCATTTACCGGAGTATAATATCGCACGGCTCTCCGCCAATCAGTTAATGCTTCGTTTAAATATACATTAATTTAATTAATTTAATCGTTACGCGCAATTACAGGGCGACAAATCGTCGTCCTGCCTCTCTCCGAGGGTTGTATATTCGAATTAACATTTCAAATAACAACGAGACGATTGTGCATATCGATGAAACCTGTATTGCAGGATACGGAGATACAGAGCGCGAACGGCCGTAAAAAAGGATATTCTGTGAATTTTCTATAAATCTCTATGAATTTTCCAGCTTCACCGAGCTCGATCGTCGGGCAGCCCAAGTAAATTAACGTTATTTAATGTAAGAGTTATTTGAAAATAGAAATTTCGCAATCTCTATGAATTTCTGTAGATTTTTCGATTTCATCGAGATTAATTAATTGAATTAATATTATTCGATATAAAAATTGTTTCGAGTATGCATATATGTAATTCAAAGTAATTTAATAATATACTTTTACATTCTACTGTAAAAATTTATTGAAATAAAATCTCGCTCAAGTAGAATGAAAATTCACTCAAAGCGGTAATGAAAGTGTTGCCGTTCGGAATCGCAAGAGTAAATATGTAACTCAAACCGCAGAGTGGATTTTTAATCCTCATGAGTGAGTGTTTCTATCGACTATAGCGAATTTGTCCTGGTGGAATACATCAGATTTCAATTTCAATTTCGAAATGAAAATGTTCATTCGACAAATCAAAATGGAAAAGTTTACTTGAAAAGATTTAGATGATATAAATCATGATGTTGACTCCTGCGTATATATATAATCCTTGTTATTTATTTGCAGAATGCCCTGTCTCCGAAGACGGAATGGAGAGATTTGCTTGTCCAACTGCGGATAGAATGGGCAGATATCATTGCATCGACGATCATGTCCTGTGTGATGGCTTTATTGACTGTCCCACAGGCGAGGACGAGGACAGGCAAGCCTGCATGTTTTATAAAACCGTGAGTAAAATCATATAATTGTATATGTGTCTCTGTTTAGTCTTCAGTTCTTTTCGTCAAATTGCTCGAGAACGTGAACAATACTCACAAACTCTTACACGAATCAAACTCGGCGATGTATCATCTACACAATGTCGTTCCCCCGTATATCGTTTGGATTTGGAAATATCATACTTGGAAATAATATACTTGAAAATTTGAAAGTCATATGTACATTTTCTCTCGAAATGAGTGGAAATATAAGGATCTCAGAGTGCTCAAATTCTTTATGTTGCGTTTACGTTACGTCTATACCTTCGTCTTGAGAGACACCATGGTGTTTATGTGCGCCTCCTCCAATTTTTATTTATGATTCTTCGTTGTTTTATAAATAGCGCGGCGTCTATTTCTCCATCTAATTCATGTTCACGCATAGGTACGTATAACGAGGTGTTCATCGAGTGTTCATTTATTAAAAAACGGTGGAAGCTATAAAAGAAGAAAAAACCAATCAGGAAGAAAGTCATTCTGCTTGCAAACATAATTATATTGTTTGAAATGCTTCTTCGCACTTCTTGGATCTGTTATATCTTTTTACACTTTTTACTTCTTTTAAATTTGTTCCTTTTAATTAAATTTGTTACACTAATACAAGAAAGATGTACATTAAACCGGACTTCTTAACAAAAGCGACATCAGCTGTTCTTGTTCTTTTTCAAAATGTAGCGCTACAGTGCAACTATTTATTGTTCTTTGCTTATTCCTGAACAAGTATACTCGTTCGTAGAATAGTTTAAATACTTTATTTAAACTGTTAAATACTTTATTTTTCGATTCGTTTGGAGGCGCATCCAATATCCAATAAAAAACCAATCTATTAGACATTATTGCGAAACAAATTCTTCCATTCTGAGGTTTTCTCCACACTGAAAAAGTGCTCAAATTGTTTCGCAAATAAATATATACTTGAAAGCAAGAAAGATTTAAACATCTTTTTCATCCATTTTGGAGTGCAGTCGATGTACCAATACAAAAATTTGTTTGTGGATAATGTTCAGAAGATTGATTTCTTTATTGGATATCGGATATATTTCGAGATACATCGAAAAAAGATGTATTTTGCATACACTGATTTCTAGTACTTAGTAAATTGTCGACTTTCTAGGCATCTCAAATGGAGGAAGTGAAAGACGCCATTTCATTTGGAGTTTACTCATACATATATAAATTACACCGACAATCACTGCTAAAGTTAATATTAGAATTTATAGTGCATAATATAATTAAACGTTTGAAAATACCAAATAAATAGCACATGCGTTGATAGACAATTAATATTCAAAATTAATAAAAGAAGGAAACGAAATATAAAAAAGTATAAAAAAAATTTGTACAATAGTTTTACAAAAATATACCATACATGAAAAACAAAAGATCATTTCTCTTGATCACAGAAAATAGACGAAATATAATGAGCTCTAACTTTAGCAAAAATAATAACAAAATTGTTGAAAAAATATTTTACATTTTGAAATCTTTAAAATCTTCAAATATTTTTATGAACGTTTAATTTATTTCTTTTCTCTATAGTGATACATAAATAGAGAACACGGCTCGCCAAATTTTTCAGGAAATTTGTCGAGTTTAACAACATAAAAAGACGCTACGTACACCGCTTATAGCATTTGAATAAACAGATTTTTCTTTAATCTATTTATTCTCAAATTGCAACATGTGATTTTTTACCACAGAGTTATTCAACGTTGAAGCAAAACATATCCTTGCAGCCTTAAGCACGTACAGAAAGTGAATGAATTAATGTATGACGTTCATTAAAAAATGATTATAAAGTTCAAAATCTTTTTTTTAAATTATATTCTTCACCTTTTTAAATAAATTAGTTGTGTCAATGTGAAAGTTATTCGAAAAAATTAAGCTAAAATTGAAAGATTGTTTTATCATTAAATTATACAACTTATAAATAGAAAATACAATTGGATAATCGTTGTATCATATTACTTGAAAATTAAAGTCTTCTAATTTTTCTAGTGTCGTAAAACTTAAAAATAACAGATTATTCAACTAGTCATTGAATTCGATAAGAAGGTACTTGCTATTGAATCTATGACTTGGAAATAAAAGGGAGTTTGATTTACCTTCGAGTTATCTACGACTTCCATTTTTCATTAAAAACAATAGTACTTTGTAACGGAAATCTTAAAGCTAATAAAAATGTGACGAATTTATTTATAAATTGAATTTATTACTTCAGGCAACCTATTTAACATGTGTATTTGTTTAAAAAATAGTTCAAATTTCCGCTGAGAACTATCATTGTATGTGTATTTCTTTAAAGTTTTTTATAACTTAGAAGTTATTCTAATGGGAAGTTAACACTTGAGACCACTTCTTAGAATAGATATCCCCTTTAGTACATTATCATTTTTAAAGTGATAGAAAGAAGACGAATAAATCTCACAAAAATGGAAAAAATATTGATGTTGGCTAATATGAATATGACAAATTTCCTTTTAATGTCGTAATATATAGAGTGTCCGGGATTTTTTGGAAACGGAAAATTATGAAGATTAATCAGATCAAACTGAGAAGTCAGATACCATCTTGCAAAAATCATAATAGTTATTAAGTTATTTATGATTGAAAATAACCACATCTGGAGGCTCTTTTAATTGATAACTTGAAAATTTGGGTACTTATTTGCAAAATTTGTAAAGGATCTTTTTGTTCAGAATGACCTAATTTACAATTATATGACGGTGTCTAGCGATAGATATGAGTATATTGAACTTTCAACTCTATCGCTAAGCACAATAGCCGTAATATAATTGTAATAGATTAGATCATTTTAAACAAAAAGATCCTTTACCATTTTGCAAATAAGTAGGCAAATTTTCAAGTTATCAATTAAAAGAATCTCTAGATATGGTCATTTTCAATTATTAATAACTTAATAACTATTGCTTTTTTTGCAAATTAGTACTTGAGTTTTCTTCTCAGTTTGATTTGATTAATCTTTAAGATTTTTCGTTCCAAAGGATCCCGGACACCCTGTATATGTTCACAATATAACTCAATAATACTTTATGAGAGATATTACCTTTTTAATAACATTAAATATAAAAATTTGTTTGTATGATTAGTTGATATTTTTCAATTATAAACAATTATATCATATCTTTATATGATTTCATATCATATCTTTATATATATTATATCTTTATAATTATTTTATGATATGATATTAACGATGTTTTGTCACAATAGACTTAATTGAAAGCTAATATATAACAGTATATATTATCGTAAAATCTATTTCTAATTTCCTAATTTTTTAAAAACGTTAAACAGTTTATATCCTGAACTCTCATAAACATGATAATCTTAAATGGAATATCACTGAGAAATCGTAAGGATATCATAAGGATGTATGAAAATCGATATATGTAAGAAATATGAGAATATTAGTAACATATATAATAAATAAATAAATATATATATATATATATTTAATTATGGAATATATAATTTCAACATATAGTATCATATGCTGTCTATGATTATAGGCTATTTGTAATGATGAATATTATGGAAATTTTAATTGGTTTGATATGTATAATAGTATTAAACACTGGCGGATTCTAAGGGAGAGTTTTGAGGTTAAAACCTTCCCTTCCAAATTAAAAGAAATCAGTCTTACTAGATCCGTTTAGAAAATTTAGGTAAAATGATACAGGCCGATTGACGCAGGCGCCCGTGAATCAAATTCTTATGTCTAGGATTTTAGGATTCACTGCATCCAAATTGTCCGATTTCTGATATACAATGTCCGCTGTTGTTTGCTGAGAGTCTATTAATGATTATAAAAACACGTAAAGCTACAGCATTATTGTATTTACGACTTTTTTTCTAATTAAGTTGATAGTTTGGCAAATTTTCGTGAATCCCCATAAGACCAATATTAAATTAAAATTACATTAACTCAACAACTGGTCTGATAAATCTGATAAATCTGCTGAAATTGTATACAGTATTTTATGATTACAATACCTACTAATTATCAAAGTTTGAACAATTTGACATTATTTTTGTTTTAGGGATAATACAACCTTAAACAGTTTATTTTTATGAAATTCTGTTAGAGTCTATAGAAAAGCTTTCCTATTGAATATCGGACGTCGTACATTGAACATCGGATGCAATGTGAATCCTCCTTTATAGGCTTCGCCCATTCTGGCTTTCATCCCTCCTCCGACTCTGCCATAAAACAAAAAAATAAAAAAGAAACAAAATAAAAAAACAAAGAAAAACAAAAAACAAAAAGAATAAAAAAAATGGGATCATAAGTTTCACCACGTTCTCATCGCTGATCCTAGAGTTAAAGCTAAGCGTGAAACAAAGAAATATATCAAATAAAATAATTTTATTAAATCCTTCCCCTCTCATTATCAACGTCAGGATCCGCTAGTGGTATTAAAAAACAATATTAAAACAAATAGACAACACAGCGTATTTTTGTTTCTATAAAATTTAGTTTACGTTGAGTTTATATAAAATATAGATTAGCTTGAAATGTGCGAAAACGGTGCTTCTTAAATTTATATACTGGATAATATAACATAACATACATGAATGTTCATTATTTACATAGGTAACACAGAAAATAAAATAATATTATTATATATCATAAAATTTTAATTAATTTATAATAATTTACAATTAATATATATTGGGTGAGTGCAAAAGTTCGTGCGGAGTTTGTGAGTAAAAGTCACACAGTGATTAGGCAAACAAAAATCTTTATTCAATCAATGATATATTCTCCATCGTTTTCTATAATCCTTTCCCAACGTTCTGGCAGCATACGGATGCCTCGATCATAAAAACTGCGCGGTTTAGATTCGAAGAACGAAGAGACGCCGTTTTTTAAGGCCTCCAAAGAGTCAAAGTTTTTTCCATTTAAATAATTTTGCAATGACCGGAACAAGTGATAGTCAGATGGTGCGATATCAGGAGAATACGGTGGATGCGTTAAGACATCCCATTTCAGGCTCTTCAGTTTGCGCAGCGTCTTTTTCGAAACGTGTGGTCTGGCGTTGTCGTGATGAAAGACGACTCCCTTGCGATTTGACAAAATCGGACGTTTCTCTTTTATTTCTCGATTCAGATTGGTTAATTGGCGACAGTACTTGTCCGAATCAATCGTTTCGCCAGCGGGGAGAAGCTCGAAATAGATTATGCCCTTGCAATCCCACCAAACAGAGAGCATCACCTTCATCGGGTGCAAACTGGCCTTTGGTATTGCGTCACCATGCTCACCTGATTGTTTCCATGTCCGTTTGCGCTGAACATTGTTGTAGAGGACCCATTTCTCATCGCCCGTCACTAGTCGATCCAAAAACGACTCGTTATTGAGCCGCCCGAGTAAAGAAACGGCTGCAGAAATTCGCTTGATTTTGTTCTTCTCGGTCAGCAAATGGGGCACCCATATATCGAGCTTCAAATCGAATCCCATCTTTTTTAAACGCCGAAAAGCGGTTGATCGGTCAACGTTTAGTGAGTAGTAGCAACTTCTTCTGTTGAAATTCGCGGATTATTGAGCACTAAAGTACGCAAAACATCGTCATCAATGTCAGAAGGTCGACCAGAGCGTGGCTCGTCTTCAAGGTTAAATTCTCCGCGCCGAAATTTAGCAAACCATTTTTCCACAGTTCGTTTAGCTGGTGCTTCATCCTGATAAACATCCTGAATGTTTTTTACGGCTGCGGCAACGTTTATTCCCTTCCGAAACTCGTAAAGCATAACATGCCGTAAATGCACCTTATCGATACTCATTTTTAAAGTGATATTTCTCGAAGCAGTTTGTATGAAAACAAATGATTTTTTTTTTAATAATAGCTGAAGACGTCACCTTTCCAACGTTATATAATATGTAGATGGAAGTATTAATGACAACACTTTACGACGCTTATAACTCCATCTATTGAAACTCCGCACGAACTTTTGCACTCACCCAATAATATGGTATAGTGTTGAAATCAATAGACTGTTCTTTATAAATTTTTGTATCAATTTCTATTCACTATATTTTACTTATTATTCCACTTGAATATAAGAATTTATATAAAATGATAAATTTTATTTTCGTAGAAAAATAAAAAGGAGATAGGAAAAGAAGCTTAGTGTTATAACAAATTTATAAAGAATATGATTTTTTATTATTTCCTATTTATTATTTTAAGTAGAGTTAGATTACATAAATATTTTAACATTTTCTTGGTCTGGGATTACAAGGATTTGTCGATCTCATGTCTACATGCATCATGTCTACAGTTAATGCAAGGAAGGTTGCAACACTTTTATCTCGATGAACTTTATAACACATCCGGTGTCTAATAGGAAAGTGTATCTTTTCAGATTTACTAAAAAATAAATTCTCCAATCGGATACAGGATGCGTTGCAAAACGCATTGAGATAAAAGTGTAGCAACTTTTTATCTTCTAACTATATATATTTGTGTACCATGATTATAATTATCATATTAATGTATACACGGTAAGAAAATTATATTTTCCCAAAATTTTGATAGTCATTCTCAGAAGCTATCTCAAAAACAACCATTAAACAGTATTGTATTATCATATACGAGGGCGGTCCGATAAATACTTAGCCTCACCGCCCGATGGCGCCACTATCGCAAGAGAAATTTACTATCGTGTAGTACATTCTCGTAGACGGCTACTGTTGAAATTTCAACCGAATCGGACTCGTAGTTTTGTTTTGATCACGTGTGGAAGCGGCCGTGTCCGCGGATTTTAGAAAAATGGAAAAAGAGCAATATCGGTCGGTGATTCGATTCTTGTTTTTGGAAGGGAAATCGCGCAGCGAAATCAAAGAGCGCTTGGATGCTGTATACGGTGACTCTTCTCCTTCGATGGCGACCGTCAAAAATTGGTTTAACGAGTTTCAACGTGGTCGCACGTCGGTTTTTGATGAGCCACGCCCAGGTGCCCCGAAAACGGCTACCACGGAGGATAACATGACAAAAATCCACGATCTCGTATTGGCAGACCGCCGATTGAAGGTGCGCGAGATAGCTGAGACAGTAGGCATCTCAAAAGACCGCGTGGGTCATATCCTGCATGAAATTTTGGGCATGAGAAAGCTGTCGGCGCGATGGGTGCCGCGTTTGCTCACTCCGGACAACAAGCGCAACCGTGAGACCACTTCAGAGCAGTGTTTGACGCTGTTTAAGCGCAATCCGAAGGAGTGTCTGCGTCGTTTCGTGACCGTCGACGAAACATGGATCCACTGGTATACACCAGAGACCAAGGAACAGTCGAAACAGTGGACTTCACCCGGCGAACGTGCTCCGAAGAAGGCGAAGACTGTCCTATCGGCCGGAAAGGTGATGGCCACCGTTTTCTGAGATTCACAAGGTGTGATCTACATCGCCTACCTGGAGAAGGGCAAAACGGTCATAGGGCTGTACTATGTCGAATTATTGGAGATTCGACGCCGAATTGCAGAAAAAACGGCTCCATTTGACGAAGAAAAAAGTGTTCTTCCACCATGACAACGCACTGGCTCACACCTCCGCCCTCGCCACGGTTAAATTGGTCGAATTGGGCTACGAATTGCTGCCCCATCCATCGTATTCTCCAGATTTGGCCCCGTGCGACTTCTTTTTGTTTCCAAACTTGAAAAAGTCACTCGCCGGGCAGAAATTTGAGTCGAATGAGGAGGTCATCGCCGCCACGGAGGCCTACTTTGCAGACCTCGAGAAAACGTATTTTTCAGACGGGTTAAAGAAGTTGGAGCATCGCTGGGTCAATTGTATCGAGCTAAAAGGAGACTATGTTGAGAAATAAATTGCCACTTTTCCAAAATTTTCGTTTTTCTTTTGTAGGCTAAGTACTTATCGGACCACCCTCGTATATACTCTGCCTATTTTAATTTTAATATTATTTATATTGTTATAAACACAAATTATACACAACAAATATTCATTAATATTTAATATTACTATTTCTTTGTTTCTAAAAACTATCTACTTTTTACTGTTCTACGACAAATTGTCAAAAAAAGAAAAATCGCTTTAAATAAATTATCACATATTATATGTATATATAATTATCAAATGAGGAATATATTGGAAGCGAATGTATTGATTGGAAATATATTAAATATTAAATTTAATATATGTTGAGCTGTTTAATATAAAGTTATGTATAATAATTATAGTTAATTATTTGTACACATAAAACGATCCAAAACCTTAACATGTCTAATTAAGCATATCTAACAATAAAATCATTTGATGATTTAGAGTTATATCTTTTATTAATGAAAATATCGTAATATTGACTTTTTTCAAGTTCAGATTAAATTGAAAATAATGGACTTTCCGAGAGTTAAATTTTAATACGGTAAACATGCGAGTAACAGAATTATTTTCTTTACTGAATTTCAAGCAGATAGAAAGAAAGGAGAAAGAATATTAGATTTTATTAACGATCTATGGTCTTTTCACATTGTAAAATAAACTTCATAAAACTCGGCCACATCAAACGATGAAATTCAATTTGCAAAATGTAATTAAGCGAGTTCTCTCTTCAACTGTGGTTTGCATAAAAATTATTAATTAATATCGCGTATTAAATGTTATTTAAGCTTGGATTGTTGATCACCTTACACGATATTTTTTATACAATATATATGGCTGCTAATTCTCAAACAAAAAAAAATATATGTGCACACACAAGACATAATCCTCGAGATAATTTTTAATATATACAAGATATTTCCTGGGATATGTAGCTAATTTTATGATATTAGTAATATTATAATATTGATTATATATTATATGATAAGTATTAATCCTGAAGGACAGAGAATTTTAGTTAACTTTCTATTTTTATTGAAACTTCTGAGGTTGGATTGATTGTTTCGACATTTTCGTGTCGGAAAGCATCACACGCTATATGACAAGTTTAGGGCAATTAATCATTTTTTTTTATATTTCCTTGTGTTTATCGTTTTCAGATTTCAGTTTTAGATTTCAGCCCTCAGTTTCTAGTTTTTACAATTATAAAAGGAAATCAAATAACTTCAATATATTAATATGTACCAACAGTACATATTATACATACAACAGTATACCAACAGTTATAATATAACATACATATGTTATTTCTATGTTATATAATAGTTATATTCAATGTTTGCTGAGGTATTAACCTCTTGCGAAGCGAGAATATCGAGTTCTACTAGACAATTAAAATCATGTACATCATAATCACATATTACATAACAAGATCACGATAACAAAAATTATATTACACGAAGAAAACAAATCACATATTTTTTATGTTAAATGTGAAAGGCACTAAAGTTATCGCAAAAGAGACACTGTACTTTTCACTTGGCATACCGGAAACATAATTTACCTGACTTATGTTGTTGGTTTTAAAATGTTTAAAAATGTTAAGTAGTAACAATATATTTAATTTGTATTTTACCTTTAGAATTTTGTCCTTAAAATGTACAAGAAATATTAATAATATATCCTATAGAAATTCTGAGGATGTTCTGCATTCCCAGAATATTTTAAAAGTTTGCCTTGGACTTCCGTCCCGTTTGCTCTTCCTTAGAACATCCACAGTACATCTTGGGATTGAAACAGGATTTTCTATGAATATTCTATTTTATATATGGAATATCCATAAGATATTCTATTTTATCTGCCTAAATCCGTCCTGGATATTCGGTGGCTTTTCTGAGAGCACGTCTTTCTGCTATCTGTTTTTAACAGTCGTGGAAAATATTGCGTGTAGGAGAAAGAATGTACCTTAGGAATGTATGTTCATAGTGTACTTGTTTGCTCTCTTTTGCGAACTTCTAGTTAACGCCAAGAATACAATTATTTCAATATGTTTCAGACGAAAGCGCACCTGGACGTATTAGCGGACGCCATACTACGATGGGCGAGAGGACGCTAATTCCTTTGTTGACGATGAACCTGTACATAAAATCACAAGTCTGATATGTCTACTTCTTTATATATTCAACGATATTCCTTTTCTCCTACATCATATCTATTTTCCGGAAACTGTTTTCTCTCTATGTTTGGCGCATAGAGACGTTCATATTGAAATCAAACTCAGGGGAACGTTAAGATGAACCGTCTCTCTCTTTCCGACTCTTCTTCCCTTCCTTATTCCTCTTACTCTTTCTATCTCTACCTTCTGCCTCTTTCTAGTCTCTTGCTCTACCCATCTCTCCCTTTATTCCTCCTCACCTCTCTCTCTCTCTTCCCCAAAAGTGAATACGACTGCTCGACTTAATCTCCGAGGGGACACGGCATGGTTCTAACTACATTAAAAAGAAATAAAAAAAATCGGTTAGCAAGGTCTATCGTAACCAAGATATCCTCACATAAAGTACAAATTAAGGTGTCCGAACTTTTAGGATGTTATAAATAAAGTTCGTAAGAATTATGGCATTTTAACGTCGCCCTGTACGGCGCGCGAGAGTATCCGACTTGGATGATTTCAGTTCTATAAGTACCTACCGCTATATCACACAGATGATGATGATGATGATAATGACAATGATAGTGATGGTGGTTATGATGATGATAATGATTATGATTATAATGATGATGACAATGATAGTGGTGGTGGTTATGATGATGACGATGATTATGATTATGACGACGACGATGATGATGATGATGTCGATGATAATGATGATGACGACGATGATGATGATGATGATGATGATGATAATGTATTACGATTTCATATTGAGCGATTTCCGCGAGATCGTACTAACTCTCTAACGACTTTATTTTGGTACAATAAAGTAATTTTGAAGACTGAGAACTATTTACTTCATTCCCAAGAGTGAAAACAGCGCGGCTTCTTCACCGTCGCCGATTCAGGGACAAATACGATCGTGTGTCGTTTTGGCGAGGAACAAACTGCTCCAAGCACGCGTACTTAGAGACTTCCTCCTAGAGTACTTCCCGAGAGAATGTAACGAAGACAAAGAATTGTACTCGCGTTTAATCAAACAATCGCTCCGGAGACGTCGAGCGCACGTAATTAGTAAAACGTATACGTCGATCCCGGGCTACTGATGTCGCGTACCGTCACGAAACGACGTCTCCTTCGCCTTGTGCACGCTCTATGTTGTTGTACCGATATATCTCTAATATTCGTTTTGAATTTATCGAAAAAGTATGTCCGAATAGAAAAAGAAAAAAAAAGAAGACAAATCGAGCGAACGCTCTCGGCAAGAGTGAAAGTTGCGAGAATAATTAATTGCGCTTCACACCGAATTTGCTCTGAACTATCGAGTTAGGTGACACAGGGATCTATTGAAAGAGCAATTCGCTGTCGTATCTTTGCGTTCTGCGGCATTTATTTACGAGCCTTATAATCACACTTATTCAATGATTCTTAAATATATGTAACAATTAACTATCGCTGTGAGAGTAACAAAAATGAATTTCTCCTATGTTAAACTTCGACATTCGATGTTTGAAAATTATGACTTAGCGGTCATAATCGACTTAACATAATAATACATACATATACCAAATATCACAGGCAGTTTTGTATTTTCATTTTCCATACCAAATCAAATATATTCTCTCTGTTCGTCAAGATATTTTATCGTCAAAATAATAACATCAGAAAAATACGTTTTATAATTGTAGACGGATAAATAAAAAAGTGCACATATATTTTTTGAGTGTCAACAAAAACACAAGGCATGTATAAAACTATATTCCCTCTTATCACAAAAATTCTACTTTTGCAAAATAAATTAAATCAAGGACATTTATTGCGAGTAACACAAGAATATTTTGCAAATAATACATTTTTTTTTAAATTTACGTCAAATAATAAATTTTATCTTAATAACATTATTATAGCACTTCGCTACTGTCCAATTGTTTGAGAAGTTGATATAGTTTGCTTGATTCATCTTTGAAAAATTGTCACATTATTAAATTCTTATAACTATTATATAATATTGTATATTATTATTACATTATTTTAACTTCTCAGAAGATAAAGTAATAATCTTTGTAGATTTCTTAATTTTATAAGATTAAGCACTGAGATCTAATATTTTAGTACTGAAGTGAAGTTTTTAAGAGGCACATCTTTTCATTACATGATTTATTTTTAATGGTGCTTAGAATCTGTTTATAAATATTCAATTATCTTTACAGACTCTAACAATATCATGTATTAGATTATACATTCGAATCTAACGACATTCCGTTTCGCAGAATTTAAGTATCTGTTACGTATGAAAACAAACGATTTATAAACCGTTGGTCGTCCGTCCTATCGTCAAATTGACGCCAGACCCAACAAGTGGAAGATTGTGCGCAGGCATTTTGTGTGAAGTTAGTTGCGTATTTTCTGAATTGTATATTTTTATTAATTAATTATTTGTGCCATGTTACGTTACACTGTACATTTTTACTGTAAGTTCTAATTCAATAACATAAAGCGCATTGCAGAAGATAAACAAAGAAATAAAATTTTTGTTAACTATATACATTTCTAATTTTGAGTTTTTTCTTATTATATTGTATCGTGCCGACTTATGCTGCAAACGTGAGGTCAATAACATAATAATATTCAAAAAATTAAATAAAAATACAATTCTACTAACTCTGTATTTTTTTCTTCTAAATGAAATCAACTTTTTTGTATAGCTTGGATATATATATCTGTGCCGTGTTATATTGTTAGACTAATCTTGATCTAATGTATACATACATATATTAATATATGTATATATAGCAATATATACATATATTAATTATTTAGAAAAAATATCAAATAATAAAATACAAAATAATAAATGTTACAATGCATAAATTTCTATAAATTGTATTGTATTATACTAACTAATAAGAAAACAAACAATACCAGTGACGAAACAAAGATACCAGTTACATGTTGAAAGTTGACAAAATATCAGTTAAGGTCACGATGGAGTGAAATGTGGCCGAATCATCTTTTGCAACATCCCAGTAAACACAAAGTATTGTCGATGTTACAATGTCAGCTAAATCATATGGTATGCTACGTAACTATTACTTTGTTATATAACAAAGCGACTGTTATGTAACATACTATATGATTTAGCTGACATTGTAACATACTATATGATTTAGCTGACATTGTAACATCGATGATATTTTGTATTTACTGGGACATTTAGAATTGTGTGTGGGAATACAAGTGAATTTCATAAATATAACATACATATGATTATATATAATAATATATAATTTTTTACTTTTACGAATTTCAATGATTTGATATTTCATGATTACGAAAAATATTTATGTTCGACTTTATTTTATTTACTCATTTTGTTTGATATTTTAATAACTAAGTAATATTATTTTATTAACAAATAAAGAAGATATCAAGATTATATTATGAATAATAAGCACAAATTAACGTCAACCTTTTTTAAAAGAAAAGAAATAGGAGAAAGTGCAGAGTTGGAGGATAATTTTTACTTATATGCTGGAATGTTGTTTAAATTACTGATTTCGCGTTTGCTGGTAAACAAGTAACAAAAGTACATTATATAGCACACAATACAGCACAATAACGAAGAACTTCAAATCTAAAAAATATAGAGTTAGCGAAAATTTCTTTTTCTTTTTTCATTTTCTTTTTTCAGTTTTCTGAAATGCGTTTTAAGCTGTCAAATGAGAGTTCACAGCATAAAATGACAAGTACAACACAATGTTCATTTGATAAACGGTTATACAGTATATACAGTATATACAGTATATACAGACCATAGTTTATGCACAAACATTACAGTTAACAAAAATATAAAATTGAGAAATTCCGATTTAATTTCACACAGATTCGTTCACAGTAGTATCGTGACATCTTTCTAGATTAACGCGCGTACTTACGCAATCACGTTTATTGTAAAATGCAACGGTGCAACAGTCAACAGGATTCCAACATCGACATGCGCCGTTATTCACATATATTGGCATTTTATGAACATCCACACCCCTCTCCAAGGCGAAATATTTCACGGGTTGAATAAAATTCTGCAGGCATACCATGTGATGATCATCAACTTGTTGAGAGTAGGTATACGGATCATGGTCTGATACTAATGGTAATACATGTGTGTGTCCTATGTTGTGATCAACGTAATTATTTGCAACGCTACGATAATGTATCGGAAAATACGAGCATTTTGATGCTGCTGCTATCCGTGATGTTTTTGCGTGATTCTGATGTGTTTGCGAAATGTTACATTCGTGCGAGCCATTAGAACAATTGGTAAAAATATTTCTTTCTTTGCAGTTATATGTACTTTTATGCCTTTGTTTTGTTGGATCTACATTGAAGTTAGAAGAACCAGCTAATTGTGAAGAACAATACGATGAAGACTCCTTTGAATTTGAAGAAATAGGAACACATCTGTCTGTGAATATATTTTTTGTTCTGTCGTTTGTTTGAGCTGCAGCTTGTGATAGATGCTGATGTTCAATAAATGTGGCTGCTGCTGTCAAAATTTCAAAAGGAGCTTGTTGAATACAGTTTTGTAATCGAATATATCCATCTTCTCTCTTCGAGCTGTCGTTAATCAGATCTGCATCAGATTTTTCAGATCTTACTGGGTCATTCATTTTCATTGATCGAATATATGGTACTCTCGATCGATAAAACTGTCGATTTACCGTGCTCGGTGTAGGAAGATTTTGGAACATATTAACAAAATCTAGTTCACAAAACTTCCTTTCGTTATTTGACCTAGATTTATCTATTTTACTTGGATATTTTTGAAGTGCATCGTATTTATCACAGTCTTTATTTTGCTTATCATTGACTTGCATAGAGAATTCTTCAGGAGTAGTAACCATATATCGTTTTTTTAATTTTTTTTCTGCTTGATAATGTCGTCTTGTTGTGTGTTGTGTTCGAGTATTTTGTGATACGTTTACTATGTCTGTTGGTGGGCATATATAGCGCTGATCTCTCATATATTCTTTTTCTGTTTGATAATATTGCTTTTCGTGTATATCATGTAATGTACTTAATGTTAAATGATCTCTGACAGATGTAGCGTCCGTAGTTGAAACTTCAAAAAGAACTTCTGGATTAATATAGTTTTGAATATCTTCTTCATTTGACTGATATTGTGTTACTGTGCTGGCTGGTGTTTTCGTCTCACAAAATTTCAACAGTGGTTGTTCTTCAGGAGATATAAGAATCGTGAACTGTGAACTTCGTTTTGAACGTCGTCTTTTAAATGGCAACTTAGAATTATTCTGTGATAAATGTGATGCATTTGAATATTGTATATCTGGAACTGTAGATAATATATTATCAATAGAATAATTACTAATGATTTTATTTGTGTTTCCTTTATCTTTCGAGGAACAACTAATGTCTCGATTTTGTGATGATTCTATGACATGTATAGCTGTCTGCATGTTGTCTGTATTAGTGGAAATAAGCTCCTTTAGTTTTTTACGCGCTTCAGAAAGAGGATCTAAAACATAATAAATGACAATAAATAATTAAGAAATGAAACAATAACACAGTACAATCTATAACGATTGCATTTTAATGCAATTATTTTATATAAAAGTTACCTTTCGTATCATCTAATACATTTTTTAATTCTTTGGATATTTTGTCGCATATTTTAATGTAATGATCCTGCCAGTCTATGCTGCAGGATGTATTTTTATTATACGGCAAGTCCGTTGTTTCCTTTTTCTTTTTATTTATTTGTGTTTCCTTCGTCGCTCTTTTTGTTGAAGAATTATAATTGATAACGACTCTGAAATAAGTATTTTATATTATAATATTTATTTCAAGTATTTTTTTACCCCTGCTTTTTTCATAATGTTTTTACAATTGTAAACAATTTTTAATATTTGTAATATTCATTATAAGAATACAAACATTATATATATGATGATGTTACTTACTCAGGAATATCAATTGGATCATATACAATATTGTCTACTTCTTTATTTTCCTGAGAAACGTCTCCCAAATAATATGTTCGATTTGGTCTGCAACGTTATATAAAATATATTTAATTTTTATAAAATATTTTTATAATTTTATCGCACAGCTATATAAAACGTTACAATAACGTGTTTTTGCTGAATAATTTATCACATGTACATATTACAGTAGTTTCTCGCTAAGCAACTGTTTAAAATAAAGTGTAAACTACAATATTTTTCTCTTCTAAATTGTATTAAAAATGAATTATGATGAAAAATAATGAATCGTTGCTATACAACTTGTTCATAACTCATGAACTCATGTTCATAAATAATAATTCCATTAAATTATTAGTCACATTAAATTATTAGCTAATCTTTTTAATTATTCTATATATTGATATTAATTTATACTACTAATATATACTAATTTATACTAATATATATATCTATTATATATATATATATGTATATATAAGTATTATAAATTACATGTGTAAAAAAGCGAATGTGTTAAACAAAAAAGAGTAAACATCTTTATATATTTTTTATGTGTGTTTTCTAATCGCTCACCAAAATTTATAAGAAGTCTGGAATGATTGTTGTACTGTTCAATATAGTTATCTACGAATAACGCATATCTATAATATCTATTATTTATTGTAAAAAGCATGTTAGCGACACAAGCATGTTGTGATTTTTAAATATAAACTATTAAAGTATTGACTTCAAATTTGTTAAATATTGACTATGTTTATACAAATATCAGAGCAATTTGGATTTTATGTAAAAATTATGTATTTATAAAATTAATTAGATTATAAATAGATATCTTTAATTGTATTTCATGAGAGTTGTTGCATTAACTTTCATAATAAGACACATGCTAACTTTAATTTTTTATATTTATGTTAAAAAATAAACAATATATATACCATCATAATTGTATGGAAACTGTGATATTAATTGCCACGTTGAATTCGTGTTAGCTCTGTGCAGAATGTATATAGTATACATCATATAGAAATCATATAGAAAATCACATTATTTAATGAAAGGGTTGTGGGATAGACTAGTTCTCTTTAAATGGTTGATATGAGGTTGATATGAAGAAATGGGAAAAAACTACAGCAATAATCTTACACGTACAGTTATGCTTAAATATTTTTTAAGTATAGTCAAGAGCAGTGCTAGGAATTAAGTGAGCAGCACGAGCCGATTTCAAAGGCAACGCCCGCGCTTCCCCCACTACCTCTCGAAGCTCGGCGGCCGAGCCGCCGATCGCGCGTGAGACGCTCTGCCTCAGGAACGATCTCATATAAGATATAAGATGAGATCGCACCCTCCGTCAAACCAAAATTAAAATACTTATTTATTCTTAAAAAATAATTCTTACTCTCATTAATGATGAAATATTACGCTTTTCTAATATAATAAATAATATAATATAATAATTTCTAATATAATAAATTCTCTTTAATAATAATATAGTGATGATAATAATTAAGAATATAATTATTAAAGTTTTGCCAATAGATTTCCACCCATAAAGTACTATTGTTGATGCGTTTTTTTTTAAATGGTTTCCCCAGTAGGCCTACTCCACTAAAAATTAATGAAAATGAAATATATGGCTCAACAGGAAAACGAAATGCTAAATCGTGAGAAATATAAAAACGAAAGAGGAAGAATAAATACAGCGCAAAATGACCAATTTTTATGAAAATATTAATTGGATTTTCTAAAAAAAAAAAAATAAAAAAATAAAAAAATAAAAAAAACCGCACCAACAGTAGTGCCTCATGGGTGATATGGAAATCTATTAAAAAACTTTATTAATTATATTCTTAATTATTGTCATTACTATATTATTATTAAAGACAATTTATTATATTAGAAATAAAAGCGTAATATTTCATCATTAATGAGAGTAAGAATTATTTTTTAAGGGTAAATAAATATTTTAATTTTGGTTTGACGGAGCGTACGATCTCATCTCATATCGTATACGAGACCGTTCCTGAGGCAGAGCGTTTCATGCGCGATCAGCGGCTCGGCCGCTGCGCTTCGAGAGGTAGCGGGGGAAGCGCGAGCGTTACCTCTGAAATCGGCTCGCGCTGCTCACTTAATTCCCAGCACTGGTCTAGAGCAGAGCTGGCCACGATCTGCACATTTCGGTTGAAATTCAGTAGGTGACGTCTACCGTCCCCCTCGCACCGCTCCGCGCTCAGCGGCCGGGGCGACGATCGCGGTGCACTCAGGCCCATCGCTGTATAAGAAATCAGCTGCGGCGTCACATTATCATTAAAATTATTTCCTCGTTTAATAATTACTTTAAAATATATATGTTTACGTGTTTAATACATATATATATTTTTTTATATATATAAACGCATATACACATATATATATACAGGGTGTTTGATAGCTGATCATGCAGACGAAAGTTGGAGATAGATTGGGTGTAGCCGAGAAGAAAAGTCATGTACCATAATGTCAAATTGGCAATAGTTATCGAGTTATTAATTAAAACATGTGAGCCAACGAGCGCGTAGAGAGCGGAGGGCGGCCGCAATAAGCACGTAGACATTTGATACAGGCGGAGTCAGTGAGTAGCGGTAGACAAGCGCGCGCGGCGAGGGGCAACGTAAGCGATAAGAGGCGATCGCGCGCGACGAGGAGCGAGCGAGCTTTTTCTTTACAGCTTTTTCTTTATAGCTCGCTCGCTCCTCGTCGTTCGCGCTCGCTCGCCTCTTGTCGCTTGCGCTCGCTCGCTCCTCGTCGCGCGCGTTCGCCTCTTGTTGTTTACGTTGCCTCTCGCCTACCGTTACTCGCTGACTCCGCCTGTATCAAATGTCTACGTGCTTACTGTGGCCGCCCTCCGCTCTCTACGCGCTCGTTGGCTCACATATTTTAATTAATAACTCGGTAACTATTGCCAATTTGACATTATGGTACATGACTTTTCTTCTCGGCTACACCCAATCTATCTTCAACTTTCGTCTGCATGATCAGCTATCAAACACCCTGTATATAATGCATAAAAATATATAAAATATTTTAATGTGATTATTAAACGAGGAAACAATTTTAATGATAATGTGACGCCCCAGCTGATTTCTTATACAGCGACGGGCCTGACTGCACCGCGCATAGACATAGTATATCTAGACTGCGCGTTCTCCCAAATTTCAAGAGTGGGGATATAACTCTCGTAGAAAAAGAAGCACTCTGTTTTTACTGTTCGTTCTCTCTCGCATAGTCCTGATGGAAAGGGAATAGAGGCGGTGGTTACTGTACAGCACTGTACAATTGCAACTGCCTCCCCTATACCCCTTCCATCGGGACTGTGCGAGAGAGAACGAACAGTAAAAACAGAGTATATCCTTTTCTACGTGAGCTATATCCCCACTCCTCGAACACGCAGTCTAAATATACTATGTCTATGGCACCGCGATCGTCGCCCCGGCCGCTGAGCGCGGAGCGGTGCGAGGGGGACGGTAGGCGTCAACTACTGAATTTCGCCCGAAATGCAGATCGTGGTCAGCTCTGATCTAGAGAATAACTGATGCTGATTAATCTGCTTTTTAAAAAATTTGGTGTATATATATGCTTATTTATAATATTTTATTATTTTTATTTAATATTTTTATAAAATTAAGGAAATATATAAATATGTTTTTTATCAATTTTGATGATATGCATGTTGTAGAACAGAGCTGGACACGATCTGCATATTTCGGACGAAATTCAGTAGGTGACGCCTACCGTCCCCTTCGCACAGTTCCGCGCTGAGCGGCCAGGGTGACGATCGCGGTGCACTCAGGCCCGTCGCTGTATAAGAAATCAGCTGGGGCGTTACATTATCATTAAAATTGTTTCCTCGTTTAATAATCACGTTAAAATATATATGTTTATGCGTTACATATGTATGTATGTATGTATGTATGTATGTATGTATGTATGTATATATATATATATATAAAATATATATATGTATTAAACACGTCACCTACTGAATTTCGCCCGAAATATGCAGATCATGTCCAGCTCTGTTGTAGAATATCTGAAAACAAAAGACGTATACTTGTTTCTTTGTTTTATATTGTTGGTTTTTTCGCACATTTAGAGATTGGACATTTTAGGAGAAACTCAATTAATTATAAAGAAATATTTTCGAGATTATAAAGTATATAAAATATAATGTTTTAGACAAAAGTTTTATGTCATTTAATATTCTTTATAACCAAATATTCAGATTTCCAAAAAATGTCATATAAAATCTTACTTGATATCCTGCATATCTATGATACCTATTATTTTTTGCAAAAACAATAATGTTACATATATATTGTAAAGTTCCAAGTTTGATGGAAAAGAAAGATATAAAGAACAATGGGTAAAAAGTGCCGATTTTGATTCATCATGGGAAACGAATAAAACACATCACTTCTATAGGATTTTGATCTGCTGGACACGATGCCGTCGTTAGTTTTCTTCTAAACCCCGGAGAACATGTTCAAATCCGAGGATTTATCATCTAATAATCGAATGGTCCAGGAAGCCTTTGCGTAAACTTTAAAGCTATTGCAAACTCGTATATTAGCTAAATTAGCTGAAGACAGTTTAGATTTTCGATTTAACAGTTGAAGGTATTCTATTTTTATGCAAAATTTGTTAACAACATTACATTGTTAACATTTGTTAATATGCACGGTTTAACAGATCACCAGTAACACTCAATTCCTTTGTAAACGCGTATTAGGGAAATACAAGTTTCAGACAAAAGTTGTACGGTTTCAAAGGGGGCATATAACAACTATACCATTTTGTTTACAGATGGCGCTACTTTCGAGATATTCACTGATCATTGCTTTTTTAAAATGGAAACCCGAATTTTTTATATTATCATCTTTTTCTATAAATTAATTTTAACAACTTTTGTCTGAATTTTGCATAAAAAGAGAACACCTTCAACTATTAAATCAAAAATATTTCTAAATCGAAAATCTAAACTGTCTTCAACTAATTTAGCTCATATACGAGTTTGCAATAGCTTCAAAGTTTATACAAAGGTTTCCTGGACCATTCAATTATTAAATAAATCTTTGGATTTGAACATGTTCTCCGGGGTTTAGAGGAAAACTAACGACGGCATCGTGTTCAGCAGGTCAAAATCCCATGGAAATGATGTGGTTTGTTCGTTCGTTCGTGGACTAAAATCGGCACTTTCTTCTTTGTGATTAATTTTCCCTTGCATAAATATATTTATGTAAGAAAATACATTAGCTATAAAAGCTGATACTCATTTCTTTTAACAAATAATTTTAGCCTTACAATACATATGTGACGAAAGAGAATATTTACAAAATTATACTGAACACATAAGCCGCTTTATAATACAAATATCTAAAAATTTTCCAACAGTAGTGTACATTCTGACAATAACCTACACACATATCTAATATTTATGAAACTTGCTAAAAATATTTCAAATGGTCTTACACGCATAAGTAGGAATTTTTGCATAAATAACAAAAATCATTAAATAAGTGATGATCTCATATAAAAACTGATCCTTTAAATTAGATATATAATGAATATACGAATTGTAAAATCAAAGTGTTAACTTCACATATTTCCTAGATATAATGTGACAATTAATGTGTTAACAAAAATAAACTACTATTATATAACAGTCTAATATCAGATTAATAATATAAGATTGTAACGTAACAGAATGTTATTTTATAAAGGTATATATTATATATACATAAATAATTATAACATCATGAATTAAATAAAAATTGATCTTATACTAGTCATGTAAATGAAGGTTACAATTTCTAGTAACAGACCATACTCAAATCAAGTTTGCTGTCCAATAAATATAGTCATTATCTAAGTTAATAAATATATACCTTTGTAAATATACCTTTGTTTTTTGCCTAACACAGGGCTTTTCTTTCTGTGTCGTGTTGGTCGTGAAATATTTTTTACCAATTCCTTATTATTATTAGGTAATTGACTGGTAGATTCATCGTCCACTGTACTTCGTGACATGCATCTAAAAAATAAAATAAGATAAAAATAAGATATCACACATATAAAAATAAATTTGACTTTATATCTTACTTATTTGAGGCTTAAAAAAATTCATCAAATGTTGAAACTTAATTTAATTTAAAACTGCTTAATCAAAATATCTACCATTATTATTCTATTACTATACTATGTTTTGCTACTTTCAAGTAATTATCTAATTCCTTATAAAATAGTATACTTGAATTAATAGAATCACTGATTATTTTTCAAACTTTTATCTATTTTACTGTGAATTACAGAAGATATAAATTAACAATATATTTACATTGTTTCTGATTCTCCATCAAAAAGTTTCAATGCATCTCCTCGTAATCTGGCTTTAGAGACTGTATTCCCATATTTTTCTGTTATAACATATTATGATCATCATAAATATATTTTCTTATTATTGTGTTTCATCATATTTTAAAAAGAAATAATTACATACCTTTCCTAATATTTTTACTCTTTGTGCCATTCCTGAATATGCCTGTATATACCTACAAATAATAATATAAAATAATTTCAATTAATATATAATATATATTCGATACATTGTCATTATATTAATATTGTTAAAAAGCTAGATAATGTTACATACTGGTTTCGTATATTTTTTGACAATTTTTGATGGATTTGGTTTGTTGTGCTGATCTTCATATTGATTTTCTTCCACTTTATCCTACAATAAATAATAAGTATTATACAAAAATTACATAAAGATATCACTGTTACAAATAATATATAAATAAAAATATATGAAAACATTTAATTTTTTATTACATTTTTTTACACGTACTAATTTACCACATCTAACATAACGTTTAACAATGTTAAACAAAATATTCTTTTAGATAAACTAATAAAAATATTATATTAGTTTTAATTTTTTATCTTTTCCATCAAATTCTAAATATATTAAATATATATATATTTGGTATTTTTAATACAAATATATTCTGATACAAAGAATCTACAAAGAACATAACTTACTAGATGGAATTGTAAACATTGACACTTAACCTAATCTAACCTCACTTACTCGCAGCGAGTATATCAATACAAATACGATATTTAGTGAAATTTACACGTAGCAATCCTATAACCACAATCCGTGCGATCTTTAGTTTTTTTTTACATATACTTACACGTGTTTATATTTCCATGATAACAATAAAGTATTGTTATCGAATTTGCTCGTAGTAAACATATCAGTATATGACGTACCTAATAGCGGATCTACTACGTGTACATGCTCGCGACACAGGACATTCTAAGTACTTAAATACTTTTGATCTATCTTGTTGCATATTCAATTTAAAAAATTGCTTGAAATAAATTAAAAATAATCATTCCAAAATCAAAAGAAATCGTGGAATAAAAATAGTTCGAAGATAAATAAAGACGGATAAACCGCGAAACCTACCGATTTCCTCTTGGTCTTTAAGATTCTTGAGCGTAAGTCGTCGAGATCTTTTCTGCGACGTTTTCGTTTTAGCTTAGGGATTTCATACCTGTTTGGCAAGTTTTGTGTTATCTTACCCATTGTGCTAAATTCTTCAAATATTTCATAAATTTAATCTGCCAAAATTAGACTAACACTAATAAACGCGAGCACAGAGAACGATGACAACTGGCGACTATCTTCACGCATATGGCTCCTTTTATCCATCTTTGCTATTTTGTAGATCTACTAATAATAATGGCGGAAATTTCTGTATATAGAATTTTATGAAAAGCCCTAGTCAGTCAAATTTGTTGAAAGCAGACTTGATTAAGATTACGTTCGACGAGCTATTAGCGCTGATCAATGTTAACGCGTTATTCCATCTTATTGATGTATATTTAATGAACAACACAGATATCAATTATAACTTTTCAATGTTGGCAGTGAATATTGGAACGCAGCCATTATGATACGTTAGCGCTAATATGTAGTACACGTTTTCCGAATATTTCTACAATATGAATGTAATATAATATGTCAATAGAAATGCGACAGAATTTGCATAGAATCTGTCATAATCAATGATGTTGACGAAGTGCTAGCAGAAATTCAACAGATGTTGCTAAAATAGTAGTGGTTTGATGTTAGAGATAAAGTTAATTTGTCATTGGCTACGTTCAATGAAACAGAGCGATCAGTGAACTATCAATGATTATTGGTTTTTACTGTTAGATCTCTAAATTCAGACCAATTACGTTGACGAATTATTCATAGTTGTACTTGTAACCATTGTACTTGCTGAACGCACCCACTATTTGATAACAGCCCAGACAGCACCGGACATCCAATGGATGTACACTCAGAGGCAGGTATGGTGTCCTTCGGCGATGTTGTATATGCCTGTAAAACAATCGAAAGCGATGACAGGCATATACGCATATGCATATGGGCGTACTGCACAGCGCGAGAGAAGCGAAGAGGGAGAAGTGGTGGGAGACGTTCCGATGTTGCATCCTTATCACACGTCGCACGATCGAGAGAGAAAGCATTACCAGACGTGGTACGGTTAATGGTGTCCCCAATAGCTGTCTCACTCTCTCTACGTTTGAATGCAGGCAATATGAGTGAGACAGCTATAGAGACACCGCGCTGTCTCTATAGGTGTCTCGCTCGCTCTAATAACCATGTATCGCGCTTTCCTCTTTTCTCCTTAGCAGAAATGCCGATTAAGGAGGCAATCCTGTTTGTAGGCCAGAAAAATAAGCTATTTTCGCGAATTTTTTTTTCGGAAACTAAGCAGACGATTGATTTCAAACTTGATAAAAATAATAATATATATTTTATTGATGAGAATGAATTTTTATGGCGTTATAAAAGAGAAAAGCGCGATACATGGCTATTACAGCGAGTGAGACACCTATAGAGATAGCGCGGTGCATATAAAAAATTAATATTTTTTTATTTCGCTAGTTCACACGGTAGATAGACATGTTTCGAATATGTAATTAGATGCTGAAGTCAATCGATCGACTTTTTTATATAAAAAAAAGTTTTTTCTCTGATTTCAGAAGATGCTATATAGCGTCTCGTTATTATTATTGTAATTTTTATTATTATTAAATGTCTCCTAATTTTTTTTATATTTTCAAGAGCGGAACCTATATTTTAAGTAGCATTTTAAGGAAGATGTTGCATTTATTCTCCCTCCTTCTCGTAGTCTTTTCAAAAGTAAAGATATGTTGTGTCTAAAAAAAAATTGCACAATTTGACATATCTTACGGCATAAAATAAGTTTTTTCGTAAATTTCATGAAATATTGTTTTCTTGCAAATAAAATATTCTTAACGTAAAATCATCGATATTTATGATGATTTTTCAAATATAATTTTTAAATGCCTTAAAATATTAAAAAAGTAGTTCGTTTTTTATTTCCTTAATTCAAACGAGTTAGCGGCAAGTTCGTAGATTAATTATTTTACTTGCGTTTTTGTCCCAGTCTACCGTATTTCGAGATTTTATAGGAACCATGAAACGGCGCGCGCCTAAACACGTTACGTTATTTTCTATATATTTGCTACATTATTATTCATATAACGCTATAAAAATTCATTCTTATCAATAAAATATATATTATTATTTCTATCAAGTTTGAAATCAATCATCTGCTTAGTTTCCGAAAAAGAATTCGCGAAAATAGCTTATTTTTCTGACAGACAGGATTGCCTCCTTAATCGGCATTTCTGCTAAGGAGAAAAGAGGAAAGCACGATATATGGCTATTAGAGCGAGCGAGACACCTATAGAGACAGCGCGGTGTCTCTATAGCTGTCTCACTCATATTGCCTGCATTCAAACGTAGAGAGAGTGAGACGCCTATTGGAGACACCATTAACCGTACCACGTCTGGTAATGCTTTCTCTCTCGATCGTGCGACGTGTGATAAGGATGCAACATCGGAACGTCTCCCACCACTTCTCCCTCTTCGCTGCTCTCGCGCTATACAGTATGCTCATATGCATATGCGTATATGCCTGTCATCGTTTTCGATTGTTTTACAGGCGTATACGACATCGCCAAGGGACACCATACCTGCCTCTGAGTGTACACTCATGAACTAAAAGGTATGTGCACCGATTTTTTGTTGATTTCGGAACGCGCTCCAATTTGAGGAGAAAGACAACCACTGCTTCATACGTCAGCGCTGTTACTTATTACGAGAGCAAAAGGATGGCATATATGAGTGTCAAATAAGTAGTGATTGTGGCGTAGACACAAATGTCTTGGAGACTTTGAGTTATAATTGAAGAAATGAAGAAAACAAATAGTGATTGTGAAGAAAAGTGGCAAAAGGCTTCATAAAATTTGTAAAACAGTATATTAAAGGAGAGTATTAATTGTCTAATAATATTTTAAGTGAAAAATACTTTTAAATTTGAGTGTAAGTTAAGAAAGTTATAAACCATAATTTCTTTAATGTTAATAAATTTGTCATCGACGTTGAATGAATATATATATAATGCTATTATTTCCATAGGTGAGGAATTATATTATTGTGTTCAGCAGAAGTAAGCAGCAGACCAAGTTGAGTGATATGAGTATCTTGTTAAAAAAATATCACTCGACTTGGTCTGCTGCTTATTTTTTATGAGCGCAATAACATAATTTTCCACCTATGTAAATGATAGCATTACATACATATTCATTTAACGTCAATGGCAAATTTATAGCTATAAAATTATTAACATTAAAGAAATTATGGTTTATAACTTTTTTTAATTTACACTCAAATTTAAAAATATTTTTCACTTAAAATATTATTAGACAATTAATACTCTCCTTTAATATGCTGTTTTATAAATTTTATGAAGCCACTTTTCTTCACAATCACTATTTGTTTTCTTCATTTCTTCAATTATAACTCAAAGTCTCCAAGACATTTGTGTCTTGCCACAATCACTACTTATTTGACACTCGTATATGCCATCCTTCTGCTCTCGTAATAAGCGTAATAAGTGACAGCGCTGACGTATGAAGCAGTGGTTGTTTTTCTCCTCAAGTTGGAGCACGTTCCGAAGTCAACAAAAAATCGGTGCACATACCTTTTAGTTCACGAGTGTACATTTCACGTCCAATTTATGTCCGCATGTCCGATTTACGTCCGTGCACATAAATTGGACGTAAAGATGTCCTTATTGGACATCGGACCTGTAGGACGTCCGATGTACAGTCCATCGGACGTCCTATGTCCGAAGTTGTGACAAACATACGTCCTATGGACGTCTTTTGTAAAAAAAATGGACATATAACGGACGTCCAATGGACATCCGTGTGCTGTCTGGGAGATAGTAGCAAACTTTCAAATCTCGAACGCAGGATGATGACAGAGGATTGATTGCGTAATAAACATAAGTAGTAAACATATAATAAGAGAATCACAAAATATAATGAGAATTATAAAAGCCAGTTTTCATCGGACCGAATAACTTCTATTATAATTGAAATGCAATGTTTTTCATTTGAAGTTGCTCTACAAATAATTATGTGTCGAATAATATCAAATGATCTTGAAATTTATATTTACACTGTAAAAAATGATGTGTTAAATTTAACATTTATGTGTAAAATCATCCACTCTCATTTCTGTGTTAATTTTAACATATAGCAAATATGTTAAAAAATAACACATATAATATGTAAAAAATTAACACAAAAATTTAACATTTGAATGCTATCAAGAATCACAGTTTGTATTAAATTGACATACAATGAATGTTACTTCAACATTTGGGAAAAATAATGATTTATGATTTAATGAAATGAAAATGTTAGATTGACATAATCTATGTGTTAAAAATCCAATCTTCATATACCAGAAATGTTAACATTATACATTTAACACAAGATAACTGTTATAGTGAGGAGAGTAACACATTTTAGGTGTTGACTTCAACATATAAAATATGTCATAGTAAGAATTCATGCATTTACATATAAATTGTGTTATTTTAATACTTGGAAATTTCATTTTAACACTTGAAAATAGATAATCTTAATTTAACACAAGAAAGTCTAGGTAACACAACAACGATATGTTAAATTAATACACGACTGTGTAAAACATTTAACACAAAACTTTCTATACACAAATAATTTTAACAAAAATACGAAATGTTTTTAACTGTGTAGAATGAAATAATTATTTGTGTAGTTATTACAAATCTTCAAACAATGGATTTTATGTTACGTTTATTAAGGAAAATAACAATAAAAATAAAAGTAAAGGACAAAAAGTATTTTAATTTCTTTGTTATTCTTAGGTCTTACTATACTTAGGTCTATATACATCACACGTGACACTTCTTCTTTTTTTTTTATCATATTTTACGACCATAACTTTATTTCACTTAACGGATGCTCCAGTTTACTTCAACATGCTAATTATTATTAAGGTCATAAGTTAACTACATTTCATCGGTTTTTTCTAATGCAAATTACTGCGTACACAGGGTATCTTGTGTCGCGAGGGTCCAGAATCTTTTGGAAACAAAAAATTGTGAAAATTAATCAGATCAAACTGAGAAAAAAAGTTAAGTATCTATTTGCAAAAATCGCAATAATTATTAAGTTAT